TCTTCTCAGTGCTGAGGAGAGTATGCTTTAACCTCCTCATTCATACTGACAAAAATGTTGAATAGCACAGAGCCAAGACAGAACCTTTGGCATTCTACATTTTACTTCCCACCAAACTAAGCGGACTCATTAATGAGCTCTCTTTGAAAATAGTTATTCAGTCAACTAATATATCATCTACCCCAGAGATCCTCAACCTTTTGGGCACCAGGGACCGGTTCTATGGAGAAAGATTTTTCCATGGACCAGAGGGGGCGTGGCTTTGTGTGCTACCTGCATCCCATGGATGGGGCTTCGCTTGTTTGTGCGGTCCAGTTGCTGGCATGCCGCAGCCCGGTGCTAGTCCATGGACCGGGGGTTGGGGACCTCGATCTACCCCATATTTACCATTTTATTCACGTATGCACAAGGCAGTCTGACAAAGACTATTCTATGACATGCCAAAGTAATTCTTATAAAACAAGGAGTTAAGCTTGATCTTGCAAACACTTTTGTGACAACCCCATGTTGGCTCATGTTAACTGCCATTTGTCTGAAATGGTATATAGGGTTTCCTGCTTGAGCAAGGGGTTGGACTAGATGACCTCCAAGGTCCCTTCCAACATTATTGTTGTTGTTGTTGTTGTTGTTGTTGTTGTTGTTATTATTATTATTATTATTATTATTATTATTATTATTATTATTATTATTAATAACTCTGTGTGCATATCCAACTGCTCATAAACATGTTGCTGGATAATCTGTTCAAAAAATACAACCATTTTAAGTATGCCTGTTTTTTATATATTTATAGCTGTTTAATTAAGTGCTGTACATCACCCAGAGTCACTTTCATGTAAGACTGGCAGCTATAAAAATATGACTGACAAATAAATGAGGAAAAAATCATAGATTTTAAACAGACAAAGCTACAGTTTCTTTCTCCTTATTCCCCAATTTGAAGATAAGGAAGTAATCTGCAGACCTCGTTCTTCACTGACCTCACCAGTCCTCTAAGAGTCCTTAAAGATTATTAAGAGTAGTTCTGTAGTTACCTCCAGTAGTTACTTCAGTATCTAAGAAGATAATTCATCTATCCCAGGATACTTTGATGTACATTAATTAATTACATTCTTTTCTTATCCTCTTCTTGTCTTCCCTAAACTACAGTTTTTCCCCACCCCGGCCCCACAATGATGACACAAGAAGATAGATGCAGATTAAAAATTAAAATATTCTGCCTCCTCAGCACTATCCATTATCAAATCACCTTTTTCCCTAGCAATGAACTATATGCTCTTTGTATTTCCCTTTATTGCTAAAATATCCCAAGACTCTTTCTTGGCTGTTTTTGGAATATTTTACAAGCCACCAGTCACTTTGAACTTTAGCCTTTTTTTATAGGCAGAAAGAATGACCTTGAGGGACAGGAGAAAGAGTTACAACCAAGACAACAATTAGATAAAACAAGTTTTTTTGATAGTTGAGATAGAACTGTAATATAAGAAAATGTCTCAGATAAGATTCTCCTTAGTTCTTACAAGGATAAAAGGAAAGGGGAAAGAAGCATATTCAGACTTGCAAGGTTTTTTTATTATTATGTCCTTATAATAAATAGTATTGGCCTACATGACTTTGATTTCCTCATCTGGTCTACCTCAAAAGACTAACATCAATCTTGCAAGTCTGTCAAAGAACTTTTTTGTCTCACCTCTGACTACTTTCCCTGTTTGCTTGCTAGCTTTATATAAATAACATTGAAAACAATACAGTATCTGGTGGCAGTTGTCAAATGTTATTTTCTGGACTTACTGAGAGTACAGAAATGAACTTACTGAAGATAATGTTCCCAGTGAGTATATTTAACTGGAAAGGATTGATATTAGAAGCTGTTGAGTGACCAGGTAAGAGTAATAGGTTCTTTCCAAACACGGGATCTCAGAGTCCTAGTGGACAATAACTTAGATATGAGCCAGCAGTGTGCTGCAGCTGCCAAAAAGGCCAACACAGTGTTAGGCTGCATTAACAGAGGGATAGAATCAAGATCACATGAAATTTTAATACCATTTTACAATGCCTTGGTAAGGCCACACTTGGAATACTGCATCCAGTTTTGGTCACCACGATGTAAAAAAGATGTTGAGACTCTAGAAAGAGTACAGAGAAGAGCAACAAAGATGATTAGGGGACTGGAGGTTAAAACATATAAGGAAAGATTGATGGAATTGGGTATGTCTAGTTTAATGAAAATAAGGATGAGGGTGGACATGACAGCAGTGTTCCAATATCTCAGGGGCTGCCATAAAGAAGAGGGAGTCAAGCTATTCTCCAAAGCACCTGAAGACAGGACAAGAAGCAATGGATGGAAACTAATCCAGGAGAGAAGCAACCTAGAACCAAGGAGAAACTTCCTGACAGTTGGAATAATTAACCAATGGAACAACCTGCCTCCAGAAGCGGTGAATGCTCCAACACTGGAAGTTTTTAAGAAGAGACTGGACAGCCATTTGTCTGAAATGGTATAGGGTTTCCTGCCTGAACAGGGGGTTGGACTAGATGACCTCCAAGGTCCCTTCCAACTTTATTATTATTATTATGTTATCCATCAGAGTGATCAAGGCAATTAATCAGGCCAGACATAAGACTGAGATATATTTAAGATAAATCTCCCAGAATATCTATGGTTGGTTTGTTAGGATCCTCTCAGGTACCTCACAAAGGAAGATATTCACCATAATCACAAGCTTTTGAATTCTGGGACATCCCCTTTCCTTCAAGTATACTAATGTATACTAGAAAAAACCACCCTGTGATGTAATGATGTCTTGAATACTCCTTAGACCCAGAGAGCTAAGACCATGCAGATAACCTAAATTACCCTGGGCCAAGGAAACATGCAATGAAATAAACCACTATAAGCATCTTGTTCACATTCTCAGGCTGCAAAAGGTGAAACTATCTCCTGAAACTTGGACAAGATGGTGCATGTTCTACTTCATTAATAGCACTAAGATAGCTGCTTGTCTATCAGGCAACTTAGTCATCCTTCATTATCCACTAAGGGAACAAGGCAAATAAAGAAGATAACAGAAACAGACATCAAAAGCAAAGTGATTTTGCTTACAATATAACATTGCACATAAAACAGAAAGTTCTACTGTAAAACTTTTTAGTTGCATTTCAGTCCACTGTAATGTTGCCTCCAAATGAAGAAACTAAGTTTGACAACACTTTGGATTTGTCAGATAAGAAAGAATGATAGGAAGACTGTAGGATGCCTATTGTTTTACAATCTAAACAAATCAAGATGGACACATACTTTCATTGTACATATTCCTATACCATTCTTTTTATTTAAAAGATAGCAGTGAGAATGGGACAACAAACAGGACAAAGACAAACACAATTCTTCTTAGAAGAAAGCAAGAGCATTACAAAGAACTGTTACCCAAGTCAAGCATACACAAGACTTATTTAACAATTGCCACAGCTGTACACATCTACAAATCATGAGCAAGCCACATATATGTTCAATTCAATCTTTTTCTGTCATGTCCCTACTATGCAACATGTTCAGACAAGTGAAATGAGACCTGGCAAAATATAAGCTCATATATATTTACATGTGCATCTATCTTTTATTTACAAGAAAAAAAATATACACATTCAACTCATTTTAGAACACAGTCAACTCTAGATTTCTTTGATTATGATGTCTGCCAAGTTAGGCATGACAATATTGTGGTATAAATTAAGGGCTAAAACTGTTTGTTTCTGTTGTTTTCATTCTGGTTCAAAGAAAAAGGGAATTATTATTATCCATCTGGCCTTACCCTCTTTCAGCCTCCCCAAAGAGTCTTTACTTTGCTACCTTTCTTTTTCAAAAGGACACTTGTGGAAAGCAAGTGCCAAATGTTTCTAGTCAGAACATATTGTGAATGTATGAAATTGAAAATGAGAATTAATCACAATAAAATATTTTCTCATATAATCTATTCCTATACCTTTATTTATAAGAAAGCTTCTTCACTTCAAAAGACATCTTCTCATACTTATAACTTAAACAACTACTGAAAGCTACAGCAGAATGAGATTAGTAAAATAACTAAATTTTAGATGATCTTTTATGATAGTGCCTATTAAGAGTGATCCATCTGTAGTGGCTACATGTTTTGGCAGTTATTTTGTCAAACTTTCTCTTTCACAACGTGGGATAACTGTAAAAAGTTTTACTCCTCTGCAATCTGCCATACATATCAGGATTCCATCTGGTGGGACCACAACTTACTCTTTTACAAAAAAAAAGTCTTGTTTTCTCTTTATCCAGCTTTTATACTCCTTTCACAAGAATGCCCAATCTTCTCAACCTAAACCAATCCAAAGTAAACACTATTAAGAGGGCTGCTTACAGATGCACTAAGAACGCAGCCTAACTTTGCAGAGTGCCTTTTAAAATTAAATACACACACATGCAGAATAACATCTACCCAAACCAAAATGGTTATAATTTCATCTAAATTCATTACCTGTTTTTTATCACTGCAACTCTGATAAGTGTTCTACTTTAACTTAAGGATTCTATAATTAAAAAATCTGTAATTTGGCAGGTTGAATGTCATCAGCCCACCAGTTAAGTAATCTACTAGAATTCTCAGATATGTATGGCAAGCTGCAGTAAAACGTTTTACAGCTATCACATGATGCTCTATTATAATCTATAATAATCTTAAATCAAGATTGTTACTGCTTTCTTTTTCTGCATCCAGTTCACTGTAAGGTAAAGTTCCAGTTAATTTTACTATATAGCCTACTTCAAACCTGAGCTCAGCCATGCGTTCACCAGGTATAACTTGTACACTATTACTACAGGTAGTTCTTGCTTGACAATGACAATTGGGACTGGAACCTCTGTCACTAACAACTACTACATTCCAATACAGTCAATCTTATCACAGTATTTTCCAAGCTTTTATGTTAAAACTCATTGTATGTTTTACTAACAACAAAATATAAATACTCACATTCCTTGGATACTTAATATTAGCTTCCCACTGCAGCCTTATTCTCTGGGGCATCATCACATCATCCTGAAATAAATGGCATTCATTACTGAATCAGAAAGAAAATCCATCTGAAACAATTAACTAGAAAAGACTATCAGATCAATGGTCATTTTCTATACTAAAGTCAAAATTACAAGGACCCCTTAGGATGCAAGAGCTGGAAACATACCAGATACTAAATTATTTGAAAGCTGGCCATCAGAATATTAAGATTTAAATTGGATTAAAATTAAAAGTCAAAAATCAAAATTTCACATTAGACATGAAGTGTAGTGCCATTTTGTATTGTTTAAAAATAATAAACAGATAATAAAAGATTTGATTTTAAACAATGAGAAATAATAGAAAATGAGAAAGGAACAACATTGATGCCTGAATTACTAGCACTATTTTTCTATAGCACTTTTTATTTAATGATAGTAGAGCAGTTTATATCAACAGAATACAGACATAAAAACATTAGTTTAAAAATTAATGGAGTTAAAGGTTGGGCTAAAGGAAGGAATCCTTTGCATCAGGCCTAAAACTCATCTGAATAAACTAGCACAAATGAAAAAAATAGCTTATCTGGGAGCAGCCTGCCATAATTATTTTTAATGGGGAACCCTTAGTAGAAGAGTTCTGCAATAAAATTTCAAATTACTCCAACATTCCAGTTTGTACCACAACCCTCCTTATACTTTGTAACAGTTAGAGAAAGAATAGCATGCATAAGTTGAAAAAGATGAAAACACAGATGAGGTCAATGGGATAAAACGAAATAAGCAGCCAATGCAAACTGTAGAAATAGGTGTACTATAGCATTAATCTTCCATCAGTATGCTAAGTGAACAATGGCAGGACAACTCCACAAAAAGCTTACCACACTAATTTGGATGAATGGTTGCTATGGCAAGCATCATTGCAGACAGGAAAAGTTGAAACTAGCAAACCAGCTAGAACTGAAGACGGGAATTCTTAGTCACTATACAGAACAGGTTACTTAATTATCTGTGTGTCTCATCTTCGCAAACTTTGATAGACTTATAAAAAGGCAAACTCATTTTCATTAGTTTTGCTACTGTTTAAATGTCCACCAAATGTGTTTACATATAAATGAAATTACATGGGAGAAGCATTTTAGGGAATCAAAGCCACTTCAATCTTTTCCCCAAACCTCTACACCACCCATATACAGTATGTGACTCCATCCATGTTGAGTGTAGTTCTTGTCCACCAAAATGTTGCCACAACTCCACTACAGCTATTCTCTGACAAAGATGGTTCCAGGAATATGCTCAGGCCTTAATCTCAGCTTGTATACTCCCTTTTCGGATTCCAACAGAATGAGTTGGAATAGACTTTGTGGCAATCAGAAAGTGAAAGAAAAAATCTCAGGAACGTAATAAAATACAGCTTTAGTAAACATGTCCTCATTTATTTTTCCTTCATGGATAAAAGAGGGCAATGTTATCCCACTGCTTCATTACATCAGAAAAACATTTTGATTGCTGAAGCAAATGTAATACCGTGTTTCTCTGAAAGTAAGATCTACCCCAAAAATAAGCCCTAATTTTGGAGACAGGCACATGCCTAAAAATCAAGCTAGGGTGGGTGTGGAGGGGTAGAGCTGCCCCACATGCCCCGTACCTGCTTACCATTGCACCAGGCCTCCCATGAATCAACACCTGCCTTGTCTTGCCGGTCCACTTCTTCTGCGGTCGCATTTCGCCATCAGAGGCCTTTCAGAAAGGCCGCTGCAGCTGAGAACCGAGCTACAGATTCAATCCACAGCTCAGTTCTCATTGCAGAGGCCTGAAATGCAGGCCAGAGCACCATTCTCAGCTGCAGAGGCATTTCCTTAGGCAGCAGAAGAAGTGGGCCGGCTGGGTGGGGCTGTCGGTGCTACCGCTGCAAGGTGAGACCGTGGAAAAGACACCACCCCCGAAAAGAAGACCAAAAAAAAAAAAAAAAGACCAGGTCTTATTTTGGGGAAAACATAGTACTATATGGAAGATTCTGAGAGGAAGTAAGCTACCAACACTGCCAATCTGGTACAATCAGAGAATGTTTCAAAGAGTATTTCAGTTTAGACCTGCCCATATGCTTCAGGAAAAAGGTGTTGTTCCAAGGATGATTAATGTCTTCAAAGGATTCAGAATCCTTACTTTAGAAACCTTTGCAAGAGTTAAGTCAGGAACGTTTTTCTGATTTTTCACCTTGTGGAGTTACCAAGTCTGTTTAACATTTGAATAAAATTCTAAATTTGTTCAAATTAAAATTAAAATTTTGCAGCTGACCTCAGAATTTGCACCTCTTATTTAGATAAGAAATAAATTGCTGCCAGTATTAATATAT